CTTGAGAAGACAGCAGACCCAAGAAATCCCATCGAGTGCCAGCAGGACTCATAACCATGCTTCCAGAGGCCTGCCTTACTGGAACTCTCCTCCATCTGTGACATTTGGAGCTGCTTTTTTTTAAAAAGACATCAGAAGTTTCTTTTTGACGACTAGAACTTGAATATGAAAGTAGAAAGACCCAGGGTCTTTCCTCTACTGCTATTAGACAAGCAAAATGACTCAGCTGCAAGCCATCCTGGAGGAACTATTGGCTCAAACATTGAACTGCCTTCATATGAATTGCAAATTTTAACCCTGTCAGGAGAATCACTCACCAGTTTTTCTTTGCTGACAAGCACCTTCTTATAACCACATCTTTAGTTGATTTAAGTCCTTTTGTTCCCATATTCTGAAATTATCTTGTGATATCACAGCTTTCTTATATATTCCCCCCAAGTCATTCTTTTTATTCACTTTCTAAAGATAGAAAAGGGGGATTTATTTCCCCACAGGACATTATTCAACCTTTTGAAAAATATTTATAATCTACATAAAAATATGGTAATATCACTCAGTACGTATTATTCAAAAGAATGATTGCACTAGAAGATACTGCTCTATCACTGGGAAAAACTTTAATTTATGGACTTATCGTTTATAGGGTCTCTAAAGGATCTAACATGAATTTGAAATATCCTGCTTGGGATTGTAAATGATTAGTGTGTCTATTAATTTTGGCTTATCATAAAGACAATAAAATATGCATGACTGAACTTAAATGCTTCTGGATAACGATGAGCATCTGAAAGCTCTTTGAAGATTTCATTTCATCTAAGAGGTAAGAAAAAGACTTTAATTGACTTGAAGCAAAATGTCCGTGGGCAGGGGAATTGGACTTCCCTCATTAGAAAGCGCTAGACAGCACACCCTGGCTGCCAAGTAGGTGGGCTCCTGACAGACAGACCCAAGTGCCAGTTTCTAACTGTTTAAGCTTGGATCAGTCATTAGCCTCTGAACCTTGGTTCCTCATCAATAGAATCTGGTGGGTCATAGTAAGTGATGGAGGTTAATGTAAGAGGGTGGTCCCCAGGAAAAGGGGAGGTTCCAGGTCCCTGATCACACCCTAGGAAGGGTGGAGCTGAGGAGGGAAGAGAAGAAGCTGGAGAGGAGACTGGAGAAGGAAGGAGGCAGGATGGAGAGCCAGAAGGAGACCTGGAGGAGGCACATGGAGCAGAGAGACATGTGAAGAAGCTGCGCTTGCCTTTTGGTCCTGGACTGGTTGAAACAGATGTGGGTGAGAGACACGTTGGTGAGGTTAACAATGGAAGCTTTTATCTTGATTTTGATTTTGCTCTTTTCCTTTCCGACTTGTCTGGCTGTTTCTGACCCTTTTCTATGGGTCCCCATGGGAAGGTGCCTTAAGACTTATGGCAGGCTTTCAGGCATCAGTGGCTCTGCTTTAGGCCAGCCCTGTTTGGCTGGGCATTTCCTACAAGGGGATGTGTAACTTCGGGTGCTTGATTTGAAAACCATCTTCTCTTTTTGTTGTTGCACACTAATTGTGTAAAAGTTCCTTTCCAAGAAAGGTCTTATATGTTTTGTCTTGATGCGGCAGATGGCAGAACTTATTTAGAACAGGCAGGTTTGAGGGTTCTGGGGTACTCCTCTTCCTGCTCTGTAACGTTAAGAGTAAAGAATTTAGGACAGAGGCAACCAAGACCAGAAGCTGTAGGTGGGGGTAGAAATGATAAAATGTTATTAAACCAGCTACAGAAATGAAAAAAATCTGCTCTAGCAAGTATCATACTGCTACCGAAAAGTATCCCGAGGCACAGACCAAAAGTGGAGATATGGAAATTGAGGCCATTGGAGAGAATCACTGATCTTTACAAATCAACCTAGTCACACCCTAGAAGTAATTAATTTAATAATAGATAACCACTCCACGATGAAATGAACCTTCCCCCAAACACACCTTCTCTTTACAATTTCTGCACTGGCAAAAGGCAGCTCTCCTGCCCACATGTGACTGTGCAGGTGTTTCTTTTTATAAACCTTTTACCTTTGCAAAACATCAGTGGCAGTTCTTCCTGCCTGCATGTGTCTGTGCAAGAGTCTTCTCCTTTCGTTTTTTTAGTATAATAAAACTGCCCTGTTGGATATAGTCAAAAGTCTTTGCCTCATGGGGAAACTGTGTGCTAAACAGGGAACTCTGGTGAAACTTTTCTCAGAGGTAACTCAAGGACCTCACCTCTTCAAACTGTTATAGGGCAGCCCCGATACAAAACGGGGTGCCTGGCTGTGGGTCCTCACCCGCCGCTTAAAAGGACTTATCAATGCTCTACTGCAGGCACACACGAAAGGTTAATAAAAGGTTTATTTACAAGGGAAGGGGAAATGAGGAAATGTCCAACTCAGGGAGAAAAGTGGGAGACAAAGTTTTAAATGCGTCCTACCTGATCCGCCGATCTGGAATCCCAAATGGCGCTCTGAGAGCTGGCCGCGAGCCAGGAGGCGTGAAGCCAGGAGGAGAGAGACAGAGAGAGAGACCCCAAGGCCCACATGTCCGGTTTTCATACCAAACCTGGCTGCTTAACTCCACCCTCAGGTCCCAGCCACCTTCCCTTTGGTGGTGACGGGATTTGTCTTTCCCAATGTCCTGATGGCTTTGGTCTGGAGTGGGGGTGGAGTCCACAAAGCCTGTATGGGATTAGCGCAGGACATCCTTTCCCCCTATCAAAACCAACATCAATAAGGACCTTAAATGTTTCAGTGACTGAGAAGGGAAGCCACTCATTACACATTATCTGACATGTGTATTACCAATTTCATCCTGGCTTTATTTTTTTTTAAGATTTATTTATGCATACAAGAACTGGGGTATAGGCCAGAGGTCCGGGGGGTGAGAGGATTCACCAGAGACAGAGTGGGGAACAGAACAGGCAAATTGACTGAAATACACTGCTGAGGGGAGCAGCGGGCTAGTCTGGAGAGGTCTGCTGCACCATGCGGGTAGTTTCCTGGCAGGGGAATGAACTCGTGCTGCAGTGACTGTGGATAGCTTCATAGGTTGAGTCTTAACCCCTTGTGCCACTAGGGAGGCCCCTTGGCTTTATTGTTGAGAATAGACTAGAGAAAGTCAAGGGTTCAGCTACCAGGTTATTGAACTAATCAAAGCAAAATATGATTATGACTTGGGCATTCAAGTCGTTGAAATCTGACTTCATTTTCAATGAAAGTCAACATGTTGGAGGGAAAGGATGTCCTTGCCCTGTAACAAACACACCAGATGTGGAGTGATTAAAAAAAGAAAGAGTGGAGTCAAGGATGATACACAGTGTTAGTGTTATAGGACAGGGAGAGGGGCAGCCCAAATCCCGCAAACCTGCCTATTCTAAATGGGTTCTGCCATCCGCCGCATCAACACAAAACATATGACTTTAATGGGAAGGAACTTTAATAAAACTAGGAAACAATACAGGAAAGGCAAAGAATCTAGTTTCTAAATGAAGCACCCAAAGTTACCCGTCCCCTCGTGGGTAAAAGTCCATCCAAATGGGATTGGCCCAGAGCAAGGCCCCAAAGCCTGCCCCAAGTCTAAAGCATCTTCCAGTGGGGACCCACAAAAAAGGGCCAGAAACAACCAGACAAACCCGGAAGGAAAAGAGCAAAATCAACATCAAGATAAAAGCTGCCATTGTCACCTCTCCACGGGTCTCACCCACATCTGTGTCACCCAGTCCACGACCAAAAGACAAGCACAGTTTCTTCACGTGTCTCTAGGCTCCATGCGCCTCCTCCAGGTCTCCTGGCTCCATCCTGCTTCCTTCCTCAGTCTCTTCTGCAGCTTCTCCTCTTCCTGCTCACCTCCACCCTCCCTTGGGTGGGGCAGGGAACCTCCCCCCTTCCTGGGGACCACCCTGTTACAATAAGAGAGTGGATGTTCGTGGGTTCGGGTGTGTACACCAGTTGAAGAATAACGGCCACCACACCAAACGTGAGAACAGGCAGGTGTGGATTTATTGAAACAAGAGGAAAGAACTCCTGACAGCAGGAGGGGGCCCAAGGGGGGATGCCTGTTTACTCCAGCCCTGCCTGTGAATATACACTGTCGGACTCCTGACGACCAATGTGCCCGACTATTGATTAAGCACTAGGTGGACAGGAAGTTTCATAGTGGTTGTTTTTCTGTTTCCTAATTATCCTGTAACCAGATCTTACTCTAGTTGGTGGCTAGCTCTGCCACATTTCAGTAAAACAGTTTTGTTCCTTCTGATCCTATATTGTTTAAAATCACTGTCCGGTGTCTCAGCCTTTCCTGTTCCTCAAGTTCTCCTGGTCTCAGTTCCTCTCAAGACCAAGTGTTTGGACCTGCCCAAACAGGAGAATGGAGGGAAACTGATTCAGGGAGCACATCAGGGATCTACTTGGGTAAGTTAAGTTTGCGATGTCCACTGGGAATTTAGATAGAGATGTCAAGCAGGTAGTCAAGTCCAAGGGAATCTTGATTAAACACAGAAATCTACTCAAGCTGTCAGCATCTAGCTGATATTTGAATGTTGATAGATAATAATTGAAAACAATTTCAAAGCCTTGAGTTTGTCACCGAGCTCTTTAAAATCCCAGTTTTATTAGTGACCACATGTACTCTAGAGCATGTGTAAACACTCAAAGGGGTCTGACTGCAAGTTCAGCTAAAACTAAGACAGGACCATCCGTGATGTGTTTTTACTGTTTAATCTCCAAAAATTCTCAAACACTTATTTTTTAGAAATCCTTATCTTGAGTTTATTTTTGCCTGTGACTAGTTCAAATTTTCACATGATTAAGAGGTTTTCATGGCTATCAGAACAGGACTTGTGCTGCAGAGTCCCTGCAGACACCTCCTCCTAAAGTCCCTCAGTTCTTGGTTTAATCCATACATACTTATCATCTTCAAGTACGAGCTCTCTGCCTGGCCATTTTATCAGCTTGCAGCTTTGCTTACAACGCCACTGCTTACAAGCACCACTGGGAACACCACTTTCTGACAACCTAAGGAGGAGATTTGGAGCTAGGATGCATTTTGTGAGCAATTTCATGTAGAAAATCCTGGTAATTTATTTTTTCTGGAGTTTGGACATTGTAGTTAGTCTGGCTGAATGACTGAAAAAGAAATTTCTTGCGGCTCTCCTGGACTCATAATAGAAGTACTTGGCAGGGATTCCTGCTCTATCGCCTCTTTCTTCAGGGCTTTTGCGTTCTCCTGCATGGATTTGGTCTGCTCTGTGGAACTAGCTACAGATGTCAGTGGCTAAATAGAAAACAAAAAAAGTTGGGCCTCCCCGGTGGCGCAGAGGTTGAGCGCTGGGTTGCGAAGCTGTCCGTCAGCCTCTGCAGCGCCGGTTCGATCCCCGGCTGCTCCCCGGCCACCGGAGGAGGGTCCCACATGGTGCGCAGACCTCTCCTGCCACCCGCTGCTCCCCTCAGCAGTGTACTTCGGTCCTTCTGCCTGCTCTGCTTACCGCTTTGGCTCTGGTGAATTCTCTCACCCTCCTACGCTTCTGACTGTACCCAGTGCTTGCATGAATGTATGTATAAATCAATCAATCAATCAATCAATAAATCTTTAAAAAAAAAAATGCCGGAGAGGAGAGGGAGGAGGAGAAAGAAGTAAAAAAAAAAAAAAAGAAAACAAAAAAAGTTATTGGTAGAGAGTAAATCATACTCAGTTTGGCAAGAACAGAATATTTTCATTTCATGCCTAAGCCTAGGAACAAAACCTAATAGCCTTGCATTAGTAAAAAGCAAAACTTGATAGGACCCAGATGACCCATCAGTATTTTAATAACTGTCTGCCAGAATAAAACTCAGCACTTTTTAAAGGAAAACGGTAGAATTTAGACTTGCTCTGAAATGTGTCATCTATAATATTCAGCATATAAATAAGATTAGATTTGTGAAAAAGTAGGAAAATGTGAACCATCATTAAGAGAAAAAGTATTTTTCTCTTAGAAACAGACCCCCACAAATGAAGAAAATAGAATTGGCAGACAAGGAATTAAAACATTTATTATAAATAGTTTCACAAATTTAAAGGAGAGAAATGGACACGCTACCCCCATCTTAGCCCAGAGGTCCTGTAACAGGGTGGTCCCCAGGAAAGGGGGAGGTTCCCTGCCCCACCCAAGGGAGGGTGGATCTGAGCAGGAAGAAGATTCCCAGGATCAATTCTGACTCAAATGCCACTTCCTGTGTCCATCTTTTCTTGATTCCTGTAATTGGATATGACCTCTACCACACATATTGCTCTGTTTCTATTCCTTCTTGAATACATGTACTGGAACATTCGTATTCAATCTGGGATACTCAAAAGACTTTCCAAGTTGTACGCAAGCAATGATGGTTTTAAGATATTAAGAAAAATCTCACAATGCTCTAAGCATGTGCATATAAACCCATTGGCTAAATCAGCAGGTCTGCTGAAACCTTACATGCAGCCCATCCTGGGCCTGTTTGAAACCGGTTTTTAGAATAGAATGACAAAAAATCTGAAGGTAACCAATAGACAGGGATAGTTTGCAAGCCACCTTGAGCTAACAAGAAACCAGAACTGAGATTCTTATCTTATTTGATGTATCTCTACCTTTGTGCCCTTTATCTAGCTCTCTCAATTTATACTAGGAGAGTAACTTCTGTTTGAATAATGCAGCCCTCCTTTACCAGGAAGGGACATCACTGTTGGGTTCTCTTTATTTCCTTCTAACAAAAAGAATTGATTTCCATAACCACAACTTGCACATGAACATTTCCCTAAAAACTGAGGAATTGTACATAGCCCAGCCTTGTGTTGGTTCTCATTCCTCATCTTCCCTTACAACCGCCTTTGTTTCACACTTGGCAAAAGAAGAGCCTACTTTTCTTTAACTAAATCTTGCTAAAGAATACTGCTATAGGGCCTCCCTGGTAGCGCAAGGGGTTAAGACGCAGCATTATGCAGCAATCCACAGCCACTGCAACACGAGTTCAATCCCCACCCAGGGAGGTGACCCACATGGCACAGCAGACCTCTCCTGTCTCACTCACCGCTCCCCTCAGCAGTGTATTTCAGTAGATCTGCCTGTTCTGCTCCCCACTCTGTCTCTGGTAAATCCTTTCAACCCTCGCATCTCTGGCCTGTACCCTAACTCTTGTAGGCATAAATAAAAAATAAATCTTTTTAAAAAAATACTGCTATAGGATAATAAACCTGAGCACTACACAAAAGTACAATTCAAAATATTCATGTGAGCAATTTTTATTTAATAAAGGCATCATAAAACCAAGGTAGAGTTGTGGAAGTCCTTCTCTGCCTTCTATATTTCTATTTCTATTAACAGTGAAGCTTGTGTCAGAAGAGCATTAGTATGGGCAGTAAGGTCATGGTAACTTTTGCTTACTGATACCACCTCTATCATCTCTCAGCTGTTGGAAGAATGAATTATTTCTGAGAGAGAGTTCCTTTAGACTATAGTCTAACAATAGTATGAAACTATTGTCATTTCAATTTATTAATAAAACATCTGGACTAAAAAAATATGTCTATCAATGTTCGAGAAGAAAGCTGAGCATGTTAGTATAAATATAAATAAGCCTAATATTTTCATGTCTTCATCAAAGTTGACTTTGGAAATTAGCAAAAGCTAGGGAATTGTACAAGGCTGCATTAAAGATTTTAACACACAAGATATAGTGATCGTAAAAATGATGTCAGATATCAAAGCAAGTAAATCAATCTCCTATCCAGGTATCTTGTACTTTCTAGAAAATGAAAAATGGCACAAGAAGTTTTCAAGAAGACAGTGGCAAAAATTCTTGGAGATAAAAGACATACTTGTTAGACTAATAAACACACAGTTGTTTTCAACTATTTGAAGTTAATAATTTATGACCACTATTATAGCTTCACAGAGGTGGCATCTGTGGCTTGATACATAAACTAATAACATCTAGTGAAGAAAATACTTAAGCAAATAGTATACACTTGCAGTGTACACTTGAACATGGTTACTAGTAACCATGTTTGATCTTTTTCAAAATACATTTTGAAAATGACTCAAAGGATTTTATTTGAAAATATTTTTGCTCCCAGTGACATATTTCATTTTTTTAAAATCTGATTTTAAAACCAGTAACATTGGGGTATTTCTTGAAATCTGAAATGGAATCACCTTTGAACATTTTCTTTTTTCGTTGGCAACTATATTGTTGACAAGAATTGTCAGTAAGATTGATTTACATATAAACATATGAATATGGAAGAAAAGGTAGTCAAATGGGAGTGTTAAGTGCTCTGCACCCAGGCTAGCTGACTTGGTTTTTCCTGGGGCCATCACTGAGATGTGTGTGCCCAATGCTGTGTTCCTCCTCCTACCTTGTGACACTGTTCATCTCTCTGTTGAATCTGATGCTCTTCTTGCTTCAGTATTTCTGTTGCTTCAGTTTCCTTGAGGCTATTATCTTGCTCCTCCTTCAGCTGGATCTGCTCTTTCTTATTCTGGGGTGATGTGACAGAGTCAAGTCAGATCAGCCCCGCGGAGGCATGCACAGAGACCCCTTCACTCCCCCTGCACACCTTACAGACCTCAGGTCCCAGGCCTTCAAACTCCTGAGTTTACTCCTATAACTAGTGTTACCTTGCTAGTATATCCAAACCCACTAACTCACAGCTTTTCTGGGTTGGTTTCACTCTTTCTGTCCCCAGACTCCCAACACTTCTGGAATATCTGGGCCTAAGTGCATTTCACAAGTTGGATAAAATAAGAAATTCCCCAAGCCAACTCTGGAATTGTGCTTTGGATTTCAAGTTACCTTGGGAAAGATAAAAGGCTTCCCCAAGCCAATCCAATGTGTACACACACCTCTTCTTTTGCTTTAGAAGTTTTCCTGTAATGATAAAGCCAGTAAGCCAGGTACTCTATGGGGTCACTTGGCCGAACTTTTGCCACCTCCTCCAGTGCCTGGGTCAGGCTATTTCCAAAGCACCTCTTCAGGTATTCAGTGTCCATTCTTATGGACCTGGGAAGCACCAAAAGAGAGTCACACTATTTTACAAACCTAATTTGATTTAAAAAATAAACACATACTAACCAACGGATTCATTTCAGGACAAATATGAGCTGTTTCTGGATCCTAATCTTCTCAATAGAAACAGAACCAATCAATACAGAATTACCGGTAGCACTAACATTCAAATGGGCTTTTTTCCCTAAAACTCGCCTGCTTTCCTAGGTTAGATAATAAATCCTGGAGATCATCAGCCCTGAGAGAAGTTGATAGTGGCTATTGCAGTGGCTTCCACTTACTCATACAGTTCTACCCTTGAGTAGGCAGGAAATAACCAAGTAGGCAGGAGATGCCAAGAGGAGCTGTGAGCAGTCAGCGACTGTACCATTGTGACAGTGGAAGTTACAGTCATCTATGACAGATTAGCAGGCTAATTTATTTCACAGTGGACTACTGAGAAGCCCTGGGAAGGAAAGGGATGGAAAATGCTGGGCACTGTAGCTCCTGGTCAGGGACTTGCAGCCCTTAACACAACATTCCACTCTACTGTTGAAGCAAGCAACCATTTCAGGTTGAGTTGATACCCTTCAAATTATTAGTAATCAGATTTCAGCCTGAGGTAGACCACAAATTAGGAGTGGCAGTGTGGTGTTGTATGAGCGCAGACTCCAGGATCAGACAGACCGAGTTCCAGTGCTGCTTTTGCCATTTATCAGCTGTGTGATCTTCAACAAGTCATCCAGTCTCGCTGAGTCTCAGCTTTCTCATCTGTTGAACAGAATAACAAAGACATGTGCCTTGCAATTGTGAGGATTAAAAAAGATAATACATACATGTAAAGTCTTAACCAGGCATATGGTTTATTAAATATTAACTTTAACAGTTTGTGACAGGAAATGGTCTCTTACCTGGCCTATTTTTGACCAACTCTATTCCTGAAGTTTATATATTTTAACTCCAAAAGAGCTAATAATAAAGGCTTAAATCCAGCCCTGGGGGCATTTTTTTTCTGGAGGCATTTTTCAGTTTAAGGAAGGAAAGATAGGTAGATAGATATGGGTATAGAAGAAAAATTCTCATCCCTTTGTATTGCAAAGGCTTATAGTAAAAACACCTCAGTAACAATAAGCACACTGAACATTCAGCCTTGGTTTGAAATACCCTTCACCACTTAAAGGAAATCATTGTTCCATGGGAAAATGGCTAATTCCAAGGAAAAGGGAAAGTCCAAGTAAGCCAAGAACATTTTGTTATCCCAGAAAGTTAAAAGATGCTAAAAAAATAAAATGGTTGGGAAACAAGACTCAGCTTGAAGTCACTGCTAATATCCAATCTAGGACAATTTGTCCAACACAATAAGTGATTGTAATGAGTTATAACTAATTGAATAAAATAAGGATCTATGAGTCAGATAATAGTAAATAAGTGAGTGTGAATGGAGGCAAGTAGAATCTGGAAGGAATAATAAAGCTTCAAAAAAAATCACTATTTTAAACTCATTGCTTCCTGAAAAAAAAAAATCACTATTTTGTAATCATCATAGTGTAACTGAAACAATTTGTGCTAAAATTATATGACTATTTGATAAGAAGTACAGTATTTATGTATTTTCAAAGTGTCCCTCCACAGATTATATATCAATTCCAAAGGGAAATATAGAAACTTGAAGAGGTGAAACCTGGTTCAAATAACTAACCAAGTCATCAAAGTCAACATCACCAATAAAGGGGCAATGTGACATGTGTCCCCTGATGTGAGGCTTAGATTAGTGGGGGCTAATACAGTTGTGTGGATTCCTACCCAAAATGCAAAACTTGAATCTAATTGAGGAAACAAGCAAACAAAACCACACTAAGAGACAGTTTGTAACTGTTCCTGAAAGACTGAAATCAAAGAAGCAGAACAACCACATGCAACACATGATCACATGATCCTGGATTGGATGTGTGTGTGTGTGGGGGGGGGAACCTATAAAAAACATGGCTGAGAAAACTGGATAAACAAAGTGAACTGTAGATTATATAACTGGGATATATCAGATTAAAATTTCTGTTTCAGATAGCTGAAATCTGAGTAAGGAAATGTCCTTGTTCTTATGAAACACCCAGGGTGGTAGTGCTGAATAATGAACCCCATAGGTGTGCAAGTATTAATACCTGGAACTGATAAATGTTACCTTGATAGGGAAAAGGGGACTTTGCAGAAATGATTAAGAGTTTCAATTTATAGAGATTATACTGGATTATCTAGGTAGGCACAATGTAATCATCAGGGACTTTATATGAGGGAAACAGTAAGATCTGACAGGGAAGAAGATGCGAAAAAGGAAGTAGAGGGAGCAAAGGTGATGTGATTCAGGGCTATGAGCCAAGAAATGAGAAAAGCTTGTAGAAGCTGGAAAAACCAAGGATGTGGATTCTTCTCTAAAGCCTCCTGAAGAACCCAGGGCCCTGTTGACTTTGGTTTTTGCCCTATGAAATTATTTTGGATTTCTGACTTCAAAAAGAATAAGAGAATTAAAGTCTGAGGTAGTGGTGGAGGGGGTGGGGGTGTGGTATATATCATGATACCTTCTGCTGGCCCACCTTCCATAGGTCAGCACCTACACTAGCACTGATTACCTCAGCCAGCGTCTAGTGAAGTTTCTCCTGCTCAGCACCGCTCTGCAGCACTGTTTACAATAGCTAAGCTATGGAAACAACCCAAACGCCCAAAAACAGATGACTGGATCAAGAAGTTGTGGTACATATACACAATGGAATATTACTCAGCAATAAACACATGCAATTTGCAGCAACATGGATGGAGCTGGAAGGGATCATGCTCAGCGAAATAAGTCAGAAAGAAAAGAAAAATACCAGATGGTCACACTCATAGCAGGAATTTAGAAAGCTTAAATAAGGGACCAGGAAAAAAGACTAATTATAATAAAGAAAAAATCAAAAGCAACAAGCAACTATAAATAGGGGGGACGGAGGGAGGGATTAGGGTCAAAATAAGGGGGGGGCGGAACCTTATGGAGAATATAACCAAAATTAAAATGCACACATTGTGCAAAAATGAAAAATGATGTAAGAATTATATAAAATAAAATACATTAATTTAAAAAAACCAAGGGAGCACGCTATAGACACTAGGAGAGCATTGTGCTTAGAGGGCTAGGCCAGGATACTGCAGTGGCTGAGTCCTGAGTTGGGGGCGCCTGAACTGGTTCTGATAGGAACCAAGTAGAGTTCACTAGAAAAAGCAAAGGGGCGAAGTCGTGAAAATACAGGGTCATCGTACTTGCAGGGATTGTTTCTGGGGCTGTGGGTGCTTCCCCTCCCGCCTCCCCCAATACAAGTGGCAGCTTCTCCCCACACACCATTGCTCCTTTATTTCTCCCAGAGCGCACGGGACTCCTCACAGCCACCAGGTAGCAACTCTTCCCAGTCTCCTAACCGTGAGCTCCCTCCCGTCTGGGTGGCGCCCTCCGAGCCTCTCTGCTCACCCGCCAGCGCACCCTGCTTCCTCGAGTTCTCTCCCTCCCTCTCGCGTGTCCACCCCCACTCACACGCGCGCTCCCCGCGCCCCCACTCACTCCTGTGCCCCGCTCCTTTCGCCCTGTGTTCTCTGTTCGCTTGCGGGATCGCGGGGCACTGCCGGCGACCGGTCTCCCGGGCACCCAAGGCTGGAGTGCTTGTTGCCTAGCGACGGGACGCGGCTCCGGGGTACTGGGTAGGCGGGTGCGGAGGGTGTGCGCCCCAGGACGCAGGCGCGTTTTGAGCAAACCGTTCTTATGCTAGGCTGGGTTCCCGCGGGAGGAGACTGTTTTGGCCGTTGAATCTTGTGAACCTCTTTGGGCTCAGCAGAGGCCCAGGCTCCCGCAGCTGAGCCCGTGGTGAGTTCCGCGCCCGGGCTCAGGGCGGGCCATTGGCTGACTTCTCTTACTTCTCATGGGTGACCGATGCCTCACTATGGGGGACCGGAGGCGATGGGGTACCCATCAGTGGACCCACGGTGGAGAAGGAACAAGAGCTCCCTGGGTGGAGGCTGCCAGATAAGATATGGGGCTCTCAATTATTTTAGAGAAATAGGGAGAACCTTTTCAGCACTAGCACAGTGTAGTACAAAATCATTCAAGTATCTGACAGTCACATTTAACTGGGCACCCTGTATTTTTATTTGCTAAATTGGGCAGCCTAACCTAGCCCTTCCCACTTCTCTGGGTGGCTTTGTCTCAAGCCTGGACTGGAGGCGTCTATTTTTTTTATTTAAATATTTTATTTTATATAATTCTTAAATCTTTTTTCATCTTTGCACAATGTATGCATTTTCATTTGGTTATATTCCCCATACAATTGCACCCCCCCCCCTTATTTTGACACTAGTCCTTCCCTTCCCCGCCCCTCCCTCTGCCCCGCCCCCGTAGTGTGTCTCTGGTTTATAGTTGCTTGTTGATTTTCATTTTCACTTTGTATTGATTAGTCTTTTTCCTGGTCTCTTATTTAGGTTTTCTAAATTCCTGCTATAAGTGAGACCATCCGGTATTTTTCTTTTTCTTTCTGACTTATTTCGCTGAGCATGATCCCTTCCAGCTCCATCCATGTTGCTGCAAACTGCATGTGTTTATCTTTTTTGAATGCTGAGTAATAGTCCATTGTGTATATGTACCACATCTTCTTGATCCAGTCATCTATTTTGGGGCATTTGGGTTGTTTCCAAAGCTTAGCTATTGTAAACAGTGCTGCTATAAACATAGGGGTGCAGGTGCCCTTTGGAATTACTCTTTCTGTGTCATTTGGGTAAATACCTAGGAGTGGAACTGCTGGATCATATGGAAGCTCTATGTTTAGTAGGTCAAGAAATCTCCACACAGCTCTCCATAGTGGTTGGACCAGTTTGCACTCCCATGAACAGTGCAGGAGAGTTCCTTTTTCTCCACACCCTCGCCAACATTTGTTGTTGCTAGTTTTTTTAATATGTGCCATTCTCACTGGTGTAAGATGGTATCTCATGGTAGTTTTGATTTGCATTTCACTGATTACAAGTGATGTTGAATATTTTTTCATATGCCTGTTGGCCATTTGCATTTCTTCTTCAGAGAAGTTTCTTTTTAGCTCTTCTGCCCATTTTTTGACTGGGTTATTTTCTTTGTTTTTGTTGAGTTTCATCAGCTTTTTGTAGATTTTTGTGATCAGTCCTTTATCATTAGTGTTGTGTGCAATAATGCACTCCCAGTCAGTGGGGTTTCACTTTGTTTTTGTTATTGTCTCTTTTGCTGTGCAGAAGCTCTTTAATTTGATGTAGTCCCAGCTGTTTATCTTTGCCTTCACTATCACTGCTTTGGGTGATGTGTCTGTAAAGATGTCTTTGATATGCATGTCATGTAGTGTTTCGCCTATATTTTCTTCTATGTATTTTATGGTTTCAGGTCTTATGTCAAATTCTTTAATCCATTTTGAGTTGTTTTTTGTGCATGGTGTTAGATAGTAGTCAAGCTTCATTCTTTTGCATGTAGCGACCCAGTTTTCCCAGCACCATTTATTGAACAAACTTTCTTTGCTCCAATGCATAGTCTTTGCTCCTTTGTCAAAGATTAGTTGACCATAAATCTGTGGGTTTATTTCTGGATTTTCTATTCGATTCCATTGGTTTGTGTGTCTGTTCTTGTTCCAATACCATGCAGTTTTGATGATTATGGCTTTGTAGTATAGTTTGAAGTCTGGGAGTGTGATGCCTCCATTCCCTTCTTTTTTTTTTTTTTTTTTTTCAGAAGAGCTTTGGCTATTCAGGGTTTTTGGTGATTCCATATGAATTTCATCAATAATTGTTCTATTTCTTTGAAGAATGATGTTGAAATTTTGATTGGAATAGCATTGAATCTGTATATTGCTTTTGGTAGGATGGCCATTTTGATGATGTAAATTCTTCCAATCCATGAGCAGGGGATGTCTTTCCATTTCTTTGTGTCTTCTTCTATTTCTTTTAACAGTGTTTCATAGTTTTCTTTGTATAGGTCCTTTACCTCTTTTGTTAGACTTATTCCCAAGTATTTGATTTTTTTTGTTTCAATAATAAAAGGGATGGTTTTTTTGATTTCTTCTTCTTCAGATTTATTGTGTATAGGAAGGCTACTGATTTTTGCGTGTTAATTTTGTATCCTGCCACTTTACTAAACTTACTGATTAGTTGAATTAGTTTTTCTGTGGAGTTTTTGGGGTTCTCTATGTATATTATCATGTCATCTGCAAATAGTGATAGTTTAACTTCTTTTCCTATTTGGATTCCTTGTATGTCTTTCTCTTGTCTTATTGCTCTGGCTAGGACTTCCAGCAGTGGTGAGAGTGGGCATCCTTGTCTTGTTCCAGATCTTAATGGAAATGCTTTCAGCTTTTCGCCATTGAGAATGATACTGGCTGTTGTCTTGTCATATATGGTCTTTATAATGTTGAGGTATGTTCCTTGTATCCCAAGAATTTCAAGGGCTTTTATCATGAATGGGTGTTGTACTTTGTCAAAAGCTTTCTTAGCATCTATTGATATTATCATATGGTTTTTATATTTCTTTTTGTTGCTGTGTTGGATGACGTTGATTGATTTTCGGATGTTGAACCATCCTTGTGTCCCTGGAATGAATCCTACTTGGTCGTGGTGAATTATCTTATGGATACGTTGTTGGATTCTGATAGCTAAAATTTTATTGAGGATTTTTGCATCAGTGTTAATTAGAGAAATTGGCCTGTAGTTTTCTTTTTGTGTGTTGTCCTTGTTCGGTTTTGGTATTAGTGTAATGTTGGCTTCATAGAATGTGTTTGGTATTATCCCTTCCTTCTCAATTTTTTGGAAGAGTTTGTGAAGGATAGGCACTAATTCATTTCCGAATGCTTGGTAGAATTCATTTGTAAATCCATCAGGTCCTGGGCTTTTGTTTTTGGGGAGGTTTTTGATTACCATTTCAATTTTGCTGCATGTAATTGGTCTGTTTAGGTGTTCTATTCTTTATCTAGCTTTGGGTGATTGTAGAGTTGTAGGAATTTGTCCATCTCTTCTAGATTGTTGAACTTGTTTCCCTATAACTGTTCATAGTAGTTTCTGATTATTCTTTTGATTTCTGCTGTGTCCGTTGTGATTTTTCCTCTTTCATTTGTGATCCTGTTTATTTGTGCTTTCTCCATTTTTCCTTTGTGGGCCTGGCTAGGGGTTTGTCTATTTTATATATTTTTTCAAAGAACCAGCTTTTGGTTTCATTGATCTTTTGGATTGTTTTTTTAGTTTCGATTTCACTTATTTCTGCTTTGGTTTTTATTACTTCTTTTTTTCTACTGGTTTTAGGGTATTTTTGTTGTTCTTTTTCTAGTGCTTTGAGCTTTGAGATTAGGTTGTTTCTTTGAGTTCTTTCTTGTTTCTTGATGTGAGCCTCTATTGCTGTATGTTTTCCTCTTATTACTGCTTTTGCTGCATCCCATACATTTAGGAAATTGGTGTCCTCCTTGTCATTCAACTCAAAGAATTTTTTAATTTCTTCTTTGATCTCCTCATTAGTCCAGTGTAGGTTTCAATCTCCATGAGGTAGGAGAGTTCCTTGCCTTCTTTTTATGGTTTATTTCTAGTATGATGCCTTCATGGTCAGAAAAGATGCTGGGTATGATTTCGATCTTGGTGTATCTGTTGATGTTTGTCTTGTGTCCCAGTATGTGTTCGATCCTGGAGAATGATCTGTGTGTGCTTGAGAAAAATATGTACTCAGATTTTTTGGGGTTTAGTGTTCTATAAATGTCTGTTAAGCCCAAGTACTCTACATCCTTATTTAGAACTTTAGTGTCTTTACTTATTTTTTGTCTTGTTGATCTATCCATTGTTGATAGTGGTGTGTTTTCTCTGATGTCTGTTTTCAAAGATGATAATAGGTGTCTGATATATTTTGGTGCTCCTTCATTTGGTAAGTATATGTTAATGAGTGTTATTTCTTCTTGAAGTATTGTCCCCTTGATGATAATATAGTGACCGTTGGGGTATCTTTTTACCTTTTTGAGTTTGAAATCTGTTTTATCTGATATAAGTATAGCTGTTCCTGCTTTCTTTTTTGGTCCATTTGCTTGTAGGATTGTTTTCCATCCTTTAACTTTGAGTCTATTTTTATCTTTTGTAGTTAAATGTGTTTCCTGCAGACAGCAAAAGGTTGGGTTTTGTTTCTTAATCCAGCCTGCGACTCTGTGTCTTTTTATTGAAGAGTTTAGTCCATTTACATTTAGAGTTAATATTGATGTTAGCATCTGTATTTGCCATTGTGTTTGTCTTTCCTTCGATATTATTTATTTATTCTTTTAATAACTTTTTTTTTTTTGGCCTTCTTCCGTTGTTATTCGTCCCTCTGAGTTTCTGGCTTGAGGACTCCTTGTAGTATTTTTTGGAGTGGGGGTTTAGTCGTAATGAAATTCCAGAGTTTCTGTTTGTCTGGGAAGGTCCTTATTCTTTCTTCATAGAGGAAGGAGAGCTTTGCAGGATAGAGTATTCTTGGTTGGCATTTGTTGTCTTGGAGTCTGTTGACTATGTCTCTCCACTCTCTCCTTGTCCGTAGTGTTACTTCAGAGAAGTCTGATGTCAGTCTGATAGGTTTTCCTTTGTATGTTACCTGTTTCTTCCCTCTTGTCAGCTTCATTATTTTTTCCTTGTCTTGGATTCTGGGGAACTTTACTATTATGTGTCTTGCTGTATTTTTCCTTTCATCATGGAAGTTTGGTGTTCTTCTTGCTTCCTGTATGTCTATTTTCAGCTCCTTCTTCACATTTGGGACGTTCTCTTCAATTATTTCCTTGAATATTTTCTCTGTTCTGGGTCTCTTTCCTCTCCTTCTGGGATTCCTATAACTCTTATATTTCCTTTCCTCATGGAGTCAGATAGTTCCCGAAGTCTTTCGTCAGTCTTTTTCATTCGTACTTCTCTTTCCTTTTATGTTTTGGTTCTTTTATTTCTGTGTCTTCGGGAGTGCTTATTCGTTCTTCCATTTCCTCTATTCTGTTTTCACTGCTTTTCCCAACATTCTTTAGCTCTTCTGTTAATCCTTTGATCTCCTGTATTTCCTTCATTTCCTTCTTTAGGGACTCAATTTCATTCTTCTGAGCATTGTTTTCCGTAATGACTTCCGTCAGTTCTTTCATCATGGCAATTTTAAATTCTTTTTCTGGAAGGCTCAGAAGTTCTTCCAAGTCACTGTTGTTGCAAGCTGGTGGGTGGTTTTCTTTTTGTGGTGTGTCTTTTTCCTGAGGAGTTGCTACGTTGCATGTAGTTTTTCTTTTCCCTGCTGCCTGTCTTCTAATTTGCCATATGCGTTGGGACACTGTGCCGCTGGTACTGACCGGCATCTTGTTGGTGTGCTCTTTCAGGGGTTTCAGAAACTGGCAGTCCAAATGAGTCAAATACTGTTATGCCAGAAGTCTAGTGAGGCAGTGGTACTTTGAGTATGTTGATGGTCACTGTCACAGAATATCTCCTTCTTCTGTGTTTAATTACAAAGGTATGTCTTGAAGTCCCACAGACTTCCCTGGAGGTGGGGCAGCTGGATTGCACTCTGGGTTCCAAATTGCTGGATCTGGGGGCTTCTATTTCTTGAGAAAACCTCTCCAGATTTGAAGTGACTGTTTCTGTGGGAAGGGGCTTTTTTATGTTGAGCCAAGATGCTTGCTTGTTAGTGAATGAAAAACATTCATGACAACAGTTTTATGAGATGGGTATAATCTCTGTTTCATGCATAGAAAAAAACGCCAAACCAGGTAACTAACAGCCTCGTTGGCATCCCACTGATAATGTAATTCAGCAGCGCCCATGGATCTGAGAACCACCGTAGGGACTATGGTCCCTTCCCTTGTATTTTCTTTCTGGAGTAGGAACAGGAGTTTGTTTTCTTTTGTATGAGCTCCACTTCAAACGACATTAAGATGTTGGTGTAGTTATTTTTGTCTTTGGATTATATTCCATTGAAGGAGCACGGTGAAGATACTGTTTCCCGACTCAGTTGTAAGAATTATTTTCTCTCTGTGCTTTATTTTTTTCATTTTTTTATTTTATGTATTTTTTATATCATTTTTCATTTTTGCACAATGTGTGCATTTTCATCTTGGTTATAGTCCCCATACAATTCCCACCCCCCTGGTTTTGATCCAACTCCCTTCTCCCCCCCCCACCCCATGTGTGTCTCTGGTTTATAGTTGCTTGTTGATTTTGATTTTTACTTTATTATAATTAGTCTTTTTCCTGGTTCCTTATTTAGGTTTTCTAAATTCCTGCTATGACTGAGACCATCCAGTATTTTTGTTTTTCTTTCTGGCTTATTTTGCTGAGCATGATTCCTTCCAGCTCCATCCATGTTGCTGCAAATTGCATGAGTTTATCTTTTTTGATTGCTGAGTAATATTCCATTGTGCATATTATGGAAACAACCCAAATGCCACAAAATAGATGACTGAATCAAGAAGATGTGGTGCATATACACAATGGAATATTACTCTCTCTGTGCTTTAGACACCAGTGCCAACTCGATAGGCAAACAGGTTCATTTATACCAGTCATTGGTTTCATAGTTTTAGTTTTGATGATTGCATCTATGTATATGCACACATTCGTTTCCTCACTGGTTGTTAACAGATTATGTAGTATGTGCAATTGCTGCACCTTGCTTCTTTCACTTCACATCTGTCCTAGAGATAACTCCCAATTGTAGAGATTTTCCTCATTCCCTTTTACATCTGCACAATAATCCAGTGTGTTGCATTAGCCCATCAATCCCTTAATAATGCACCTTTGGATAGAGACTTGGTTAGGCTATTTCCAAGTAATATTGCAAAACGACCACTGTATATACCATTTCGTGTTTTTCCAAAATAGTATCCCAGAAGTGAGATTCATGGGTCAAAGGGCAAATACACACGTAATTTTCTAGATATTGCCAAGTTCCCCTCTATAGGGGTCACACCATTTTGCACTCACATTATTATCATATGAGAGAACATTATTAAGATCTATGGAAAAGCCTCCAGTGCTCATTGTTTCTGAAATTTTATGCAGAATATTAGGTACATTTGTCTAGGGACAGGTCTAGATACCCTGGCATTCTATCCTCTACAATTGCTCATGCCTCACATAATAATAGATAATCTGCGTATATTAACAATTTATGTATTTCATCACATTCTCAAAAAAGTCTAGGCCAATAGAGTAATTTGAGAGTGACCAATTTTTTTCAAAGCACCTGAAATATAGTGCTTGTTACTTTCTTATCAAAAAAATAATTTTGGTCTAAGATTATTCCTGTTCATCTTCAATTGAATGCTCTGGACCATTACTAGGAGACTGAAGCTTATTCATTTACCACTATGATTAAAACACACTTCTTGAGGAGCTAGAGGAACTTATCTTTAGTAGGAGAACCAATAAGGGCATGCACAGGTCATTCTCAGAAAGTGTAACAAGTACTGTGTGGCCTAAGAAAGCTCAGGGAATGAGAGATGATCTATGACATCTTGCAGTTGAGTTATTTTCCTAGCTGAGAGACTGAGAGATCATCATGTCTAAAATCAGGATGGGGTAGGAAGAGTACAAGCGACTATGTTGATGGTGCGCAGGTGAACTGGTGATGCACGGGGTGAATTGATGGTATACGGGGAAATCCTACATTGCATGATGATGTAATATATATATATATATATTTATAAAGTCATAGAGATTGAAATGTACAAGGTGTGATCAGAAATTGACAACAAGTTTAGTGTAGTTAGTATATGTTAGATGTGGAAGAGATGTTTGGTGGTGAGCCAGAAGACAAAATTGGGGCCAGAGGGTGAGGGGCCTCATAGGCTGTTCTTTGAAGGTTGAATTTTATTTTATTCTTTGGCCATGGAGATTCATTAATTTCTTTTGTAGTATTAATGTAATATTTTTAAAAAATGATTCTCATGGCTGGGGAGGAGCTTCTTGGCAGAGTCATTACAATAATGACTCTGGAATCAAAAGTTGGGTATGAATGCTATTTCTACCTACGTGATCCTGGAGTGTTCACGTAGGCTCTGTGTGCCTGGCTGTCCTCATCTACTCGGTGCACTGGGAATACTGCACAATGCATTTGGGATGGTAACTACACTTTTCAGGTATGTTGCAAGGTCTGTTAGACTCGCTTTACTTGGCATGTTGTCATCTTTCACTCAATACCGACATTATCTTTTGGACTTGAGAGTCCTTCAGGATTTTGAAATTATTTTAATTGTGGTATCTTCTGTGGAATCTTTTGGGAAACTGTCTCCTGGGGCCGTCCCTGATGATAAGTTCCCATGACTGATGGCATTAATGCTTTGTTGGCCTCACTTTTATTGTATCTTAATTGAAAATATCCTGTGCTAATGCAAAGTATTTATCTTTTAGAAGTTGGTGTATAAGAATTAGGAATGGAGTCAGCATATCTTCAAAAGCACCTTGGGGCATGTCTAACGCAGGGTCTTGCAGAAGTGGCAAAAGTTCGTCCAGTGGATCCAATAGAATATTTAGCTTTGTGGCTTTACAAATATAAAGAAAATGTGACTGCAGAGCAAGCAGTAAGTAAGGCCTCCCTGGTGGCGCAAGGGGTTAAGCACCGCACTATGAAGTAATCTGCAGCCTCTGCAGCATGAGTTCAATCCCTGACCGGCCAGGGAGCAACCCACATGGTGCAGCAGACCTCTCCTGTCTCACCCACTGTTCCCCTCAGCAGTGTATTTCAGTCAGTCTGTCTGTTCTGTTCCCCGTTCTGTCTCTGGTGAATCCTCTCACCTCCCCACCCCCACATCTCTGGCCTGTACCCCAGTTCTTGTATGCATAAATAAATCTTTTTTTTAAAAAAAAAAAGAAAACTAGAAAATAAAATAATTGGTCAGACTTTTTTTTTTAAACTTCATTATTATTTCCTTCCCTATAAAAATAGTGCTTATTATATGAAACCTCAGACCATATGAAAAAGTAGAAAGAAGACAATAATCAAAGGAGACCTTTATTAAAATTTTTAGGTATTTTCTTCTTGATTTTTTTCTACATATTGTAGATTTTTCTGCATAATTATGATCATACTCAGTGTATAATTTTAATTTTTATTTAAATAAAACACATCTCCCCAAATTATTATACAGTTTCCAAATGGATAAACTATACTCTGCTTAACACTTATCCTATTTTCGGCCAGTAAGATGCCTTCAAGGTTGTTTTTACAAAGTTTTTTTCTCCGATTAGTCATGTGATATTGTTTTTAATGCTAGAGAGAAAGGGAAATGGTGGAGTTGGAACGTGAAAGAGAAATAGCTCTAATGGAGCAGGAAATGATGGAGAGGCTCAAAGCAGAGGAGCTCATGTTTCAGGAGGTAAGACAAGAGAGTTCAGAGGTAACTGCAATTACCAGGTCTACCTTTATGTGGTACAACCCAAGTGTTCAAAAAAAAAACCTCCCCATCTCTGGCTATGGCTTCTCGTAGCTTCTTTTTTTGTATGTGTCTTCTTTGCTGGGGCAGTCTTAGCAAGACTGGTGATTTTAGATCCCTGCTGATGCTGATGGGGCAGTGTGGATAGAGTGTGGTAAAGCAAAGGAGATGGTGAGTGCAGGTAATGCTTTCAAGATTTCCAGGGAAGGTTTTTTTCTTTTCTTTAAGGAAACCAAATGGAAGGGCAGTGGTTGATGTTAAGAAATAGAGGGATTGGGCCTCCCCGGTGGCTCAGCGGTTGAGCGCTGGGTTGCGAAGCTGCCCGCAGCCTCTGCAGTGCCAGTTTGATCCCCGGCTGCTCGCCGGCCACCGGAGGAGGGTCCCACATGGCGTGCAGACCCCTCCTGCCGCCCGCTGCTCCCCTCAGCAGTGTTCTTCGGTCTTTCTGCCTGCCTGCTCTGTTCTCCGCTCTCGCTCTGGTGCTTGTATAAATTAAATAAATAAATAAATAAATAAAGCAATACCAAGCTTAGTGTTTAAAAAAAAAAAAAAGAAGAAGAAGAAAGAAATAGAGGGGTTAATTCCTAGAGTCAGCTTTCCATGGAGACAGGAAAAAATTGGGCCTGGTATATAGGTTAGGCAAGTAGAGGGGTCCTTCTTGGATTCTTGGATTGAGGGAAAGAGGAGAGATGGCATAGGTGTGTGTGGGTGTGTAGGTTTTGTGGCATGAAGTGGAAAACAGTTTGTGTGTAACACTTTCTTCTCTATGAAGTGGCCAGCAGAATGAGGTGGTAAGGTAGGAGGTATAGTAGGACACATGGTAAACATGCCTTTGTATTAAGTTGGGATCAATTAAACTGTAGATTATCTATGATTTCAGATAATCGTTTTAAGATTTTCTCATCAATTGTCTACAACCAAGGTTTGGCTATCTTTGAGGCCCCATCTATGTTTAAAGAAATTTTATCTGAAAAATAATTACTGCAGTCTCCTCTATAGTGACAAGTACAGAGGAATGACTAGATTTTGTAGAAAGTGTTTTTCTATAATTAACACTTAAAGAAGCTTCCTTTTTAATTTTATACCTCAGGAGTTATTTGTAAATTCAAACATTTGTAAATCCTTGAATGTTGAGTGACTGTGACCATTTTTTTTTACACATTACTGAAATTTAGGTGGACATAAACTTAATAATCCTGGGACATTTCAAAGTGATGAATTTAATTCTTTTCAATTGATCTGACTCTAATATGACTTATTTATTCCTAAATATTCAGCAACAACTGGCCTTCCAGCTAGAGCTGGAAAAGCAAGAAAAAGAAAGAGCGAGAATAGAAGAACTAAAGAAAATGGAAGAAATAATGGAGAAGGTGATTTGAAATTTTATAAATGTCTGTTTTACTTAAAAATCTCTCAGTTTCTTACTCAGTTTCTTCCAGTTGTTATTGCTTGGCATTCTTAGTCTAAACACCTATCACACAATAGCTGTGCAACTTAGACAAATCTTACAGTCTTTTTTTTTTTTTTCAGTCTCAGTTAACCTTTTTGAAACATTGGGGCAATAGTATACATTATTAGAAATAGCTCACTGGGTTGTAATAAGGATCAAATAAAACCTTGCATGTGCAACAGCTTAGTGAGCAGTAGAGTTCTCAGATAGTGTCAATGTGTTAGTCAAGAGATAGTTGTTCCTAATTGTGGTAGCCGATGAAGTTAAGTTCTTGTTAATATTGAGGGTGTTCTAGTACCTGAGATAGTAATAAATCTCTTTTCTTCATGTTAGATGTGCTATCAATGATAATTTACATTTAAAAACATGTTTTAGATGGGATATTCGTGTCTTTCATTAAATAAAACATGCAGTAACTTATGCTGGAAAATTCTGTCTCCATTGACTGTGTCTGTATATCAGACCTCTAGTTTTTACCACTGTTTTCCTGGTGTCCCAAGGGTAAGTATCAAATAAACCAAACTTTTGAATAACTGAGTATAGGGGCAGGATGGGATGGAGCAGGATTTCTATGATCTGAGCAGACGGAATAAAAGAGAGTCCTGGAGCCCTCAGTGGCTTTCTCATGCTTTTATTGAGCTTTTATACATAGTGCAGCAACCAGGTACACGGCAGGCAGGGGTGCTGGGGGGCCAGGAGGCCAGAAGGCCTCCAAGGCCCCTGCAAGTCTTCACTCTGGGCTTCTCTGGAGGTCTTTCTCCTTTCTCTCTCCTGCCTCTCTCCTGCCTCTGCTTCTCCTGCAGATATCTCAATACGGCAATCTTGGCCCACGGAAATAAACAACACAGCTTACAACAATGTAACAATTGCAGGAGCCCCATCAGGCAGGGCAATCCTACTGTCAGGGCAGAAAAGCCTGAAAACCATTTACCCTACACTGAGCTATACTTTTCAAGGGGGTATTTCATATGGTATGTTTATAGGTAGTATCTGCTACTCAACTGTTACTCTCTTGTGTATGCTGTAATTAAAAACAGAAGCAGGCTTTATAAAATATGTTTATTAGTGACTTCCACTGAGTGCATCGGACAGATGATAAACATGCCTGCACACACACATAAATATATGTGCCCTTTCTCTCCAGTTAAGATTCACTGATCTAAAATGAAGAAAGAAAAACTAGAACATGTCAAGAAGACAGTGATCAAAATGATAAAAAAAATTAAAGCTATTTTTATTAAGGTTACTTGAGAGTTCTGTTTGAATGCTTTCAAGTCTGTAAGTTAAAGGAGGAATTGGACTCTGTTTTGTGGCTCCAGAGTGTCACACCCATGATCTGTGTGTTCACAGATGAATTCCCTCATTTTTTACATTTCAATTCCTACATTTAATGTTTACTTTTCTTACTATGTTAAAATGCATTTACCTGCCAAGTTCTCTTTAAAATCTCTCTATTAACACTTTTGTCATGTCTCACATTTTGCTAATAACTTGGCTTTGGGTTTAATATATATACATTTCATTTTTAAAAGAAGTTGCATTTAATCAACAAATTTGGGTGTCTTTGCTGGTAGAGAGGATTAAATGTGTTTGCAGTCTTGAGTGTTCAGATCACTCCTTAAACAAACTCCTTATGACAACAGTGTTGCTTTAAATTGGCTACAACATTATCAAATAAAATGCATAAAAATCAAACATGGAATCAAATTGAAAAGTATAAAGTATTTTTCTTCATTTTTATATATTATAGGAGGCAAGAATGAATATGGAAAATATAGTTAAGGGTGAAGATGCCCCCCATTTAGAGGTGAGAATAAAGTTACTCAGTTCCTCTATGTTATATGAAATGAGTAAGTATCCTGAAATGTAATTCTTAATTCTGATGCATTACTGGTTAAATTTTTAATAAGGAAACAATCAAAAGCAATAGTCCAAATAGTTTAATAATCACAACCCACAAATATGATGTGCTTTAAAGCAAAATGTTTTCTCCCAAATTATGTTTCTTTTTTTTTTTTTTTTTTTATACATGCACTGGGTACAGTCAGAAGCGCGGGAGGGTGAGAGAATTCACCAGAGCCAGAGCGGGGAGCAGAGCAGGCAGAAGGACCGAAGTACACTGCTGAGGGGAGCAGCGGGCGGCAGGAGAGGGCGCACCGGCGCCGCAAATGTTGCGGGCAGCTTCGCAACCCAGCGCTCAACCGCTGCGCCACCGGGGAGGCCCCCAAATTATGTTTCTTGAAGTAAAGTAGGTTTACATCTCTATATCTTAAATTGGATAAAACTTGGACATCGGTTTGTGTTTGCATTTTTGAAAACCAGAATGTCATGAGATATTAACTCCAGGATTACTTACAATGATTTACTCTACTTTTCAGAGTAGACACTTTTGTATCTTTTAGAAAGTTTTAGCATTTATTCTAGGATTGTCTTGTCATAACAGGTATCCCATTAATTAATAATGTCGGATTTTAATTTGTAATTCTGACGTTTCTTGTCAAAATCAAAGGAAAATTAATATATTCATTTTGAAGTCATTTGAAAGTAAAAATGAATTTTATGATTTTAGGAATCAGGCAAAACACTAGCCGAAATTAGCGACCGGTACGGGGCGCCTAACTTGAGCAGAGTGGAGGAGCTTGATGAGCCGATGCTATCTGATGTAAGTGCCTGTAGGAAAATGTTCCGTGAAAAATAGATTATTTTACTCTGGGTAAGCCTAATGCATGTGAGACCAGGGTTGGTCGACAAATGGGCCTTCTGCTTCATAGGAAGAAAACCCGCTCCTGGGTGTTGACCATATCCCTAACTGGCCTCTGCCCTTTGTGAACGGGGGCCACTAGGGTGAGGGTGGGCACATGCCTGCCCTTGACAGATCCTGTCGACACTGACAGAAAGGCAGCTGGGAGCTGATGTGGCATGCAGGGGGTTGGGGGGTGGGGGCGAGGAGGGTGTCTTCATGCTTTGGAGTGAGGCTTTGCAAATTCAAAAGTGTCTCCAAAATATGTATTTTAAACCATTTGGTGAAAATCATAGCCTTTAATTTGGGGAGGGAGCCAACATTTTGATTCTCAAGAGCAAGTCCTGGAACTGAAAAAATATCCCAGAAAAAGCAAGTGTTCTCATTGTATACAAGTGGGTTTGTTTTTGTGAGAAACACACAGTGTTTCCTGTTTGCCAGAACTGTGCCTGATGCTCTGGTATGAATAAAAGAGATAGTTTTGACCTTGTTTAGAGGAGAAACAGACAATTGAGCAAACAATAGTCATTGTCAGGGTGACCAGTGGCTTTGAGAGTGAAAGGAAGAACTTATTACTGTTTAAAACAGATCAGCAGGTAGAAGCCAGGACTATTGTGGCAGAGAGGTCTTTAGTCACCTTCACCAGTGTGCCCTGACAAATTGGGGAGAGAAGAATCCAGCCATCCTTGACATACATGCTGAGGGAAGCTAGGTGAGCCAGCAAGGTACCCAGAAGAGAATGCAGAATGTGGGGCAGGCATTGGGTCAGGATGAGACCCTTAGAAATTCTGACATTTAAAGGATGGGTACAGAGAGGAGTCCCACATGAAGGGTAAGGATAACCATCAGTGAGGACAGCAAGAGAAGCAGAAGAAAAGATGACTTCATGAATACATTGAGAACGCAATCACTATGATATTGAATTTGAGTTTTATTTGAAATAATTTGAAACTCTTGAAAGTCCCATTACCTAGGCACATAAAAATTTTCTGAACTATTTTTTTGCCTTTGAATTTTCACAGTTGTAAATGTATTAAAGTATATTCACTTTTATTTTGCTTTTAGGTTGCGTTAAACATTGATCAAGATTTATAGTCTCAACCAACCCAAGAGTAATAAATTTTTCTGCTTGTTTCAAGTTTCAAAGTATGAGGTTCCCCATTGCATTTGTCTCCCAAACTTGAATTCTTTCTTTCTCTAAGGACAGTTTTATAAATGGGCTTCAAGGGTCACTTTAAAACAGTGTTTTGCATTCCCCAATGCAACTGGTTACCCACATGACTGCACAGAGAGAACAGGAAGGAGAGCTTCCCGGAGTGCCACAGAGGGCAACAGCAGGATGGGCTGGAAGGAATGTGTCCAGCTTCGGGAGAACAATTGTCTGAGGTGAAAATTACTGGTTCTTCAGAAGTTAAGAGCGAAAGAGTAGGTCTCTGAAGTACTTGAGATGCTTTAGTTACAGCATTTCCTCCTGGACGGGGGCTGCAAAGGCTTCCTTCATTGCAAGGGAAATGATGCTAGCAAGGTTCTGAGTGTGCAGACGGGTGTGACAGGTGGTCGAGTCATTGAGGAGATGCCCCAGGCGGTGAGTGCGCAAGGGCACAGGCAAGACAGTACGTCATGACATAAGCTCCAAAAGACCAGTGTGGAAGTTAGCGCTGTCAACTTCTTATGTGGGGAGAAGTCGCTTCTCGCCTCCTGAAAGCAAAAGAACAAAATGAAACAAAACACACACACACATACACACACACATAACCCACAGAAGACAAAGATTATTTAGGAGGTTGGGGCAGGGTGGGAAATGTCAACAGAGAAATGAAGGGGAGAAAACCTGTGCGATGCTTGAATGATAGCAGATCCAGGAAGGCATGTTCAAGTTCAAGGGAGGAAAGTTCAAGAAAGTCAATCTGGACCAGACTGCAAAATGTATTCAATTTCAACCTAAGAAGCTGAGGCAGCATGTGCCAGCAGTGGAGTGGAGAAGAAGGACTAGTACACTGAAAGACTTCATTGTGGGTGGGCAGTGAGCAAGAGGCGTTATGTGACAGAGAGGCTTTAAGATGTTTTCTGCGTGGTATTTAGAATGGCTTCTGCTCAGGATGCTGTTGTCAAAGTTGAGGCCAAAGGTCATGAAGGTGTGAACCTGTGCTGTCACAGATTCATTTAATGAACGTTTATTGTGTGCTTGCTACCTGCCAACAACTCTTATGAGATTCTCATGGAGGAACCTGTGCAAAAAATGGTTCCTGCTCTCAAGGCATTCACAATATAGCGGATGTAAAGAAAACAAGTGGTGGGTGATTAGATGGGTGTGAAGGGCGTCCTCAAAGCTGGAGCAATTGGAGTGGGGAGCCTTGAGGTCTCAAGAGAGATCAGGCCTAGGTTGGGGAGGGAGGCCTGCTCAGGTATGTCACAGGTGTAAAGGACAAGTCCAGAGCTTCTCATTGACCCAGAGAGTAAGTTGGCAGGGGGCCTCTTATTTGGGGGACACTAGTCTGGTATAATTGATTCATTTTTCAGGACACCAGGGGCAGAGCACAGAATTCCTGTATAGGAGATAATAACCTTGCCCCAAAGTGTCATCCACTTTGAAAGCATTCACACGTAGACCACTGAAAACAAACACAAAAAACAAGACTTTGAAATTTTGTGAATACGTAATTCAACCAAGAGTCTAGCTATTAATACTCGTTGAATCCAGTCTGTTTTAATGGTGTATTAAGTTGTAACTATTTCTGCTACCACTAGATGTCACAAAGAATCAGTTTTTAAGAGCCCTAATGCTTGAGGCTGTGGCTTTGAAAAAATTTCATTTTGTACAGAAATAAGGTTTTCTCAATGGTAAAGGTCGAATGAAGCTAAACTAGAAAACTAACCCTGAAACCTAACTGTGGAATGGGGGTAACCAGAATGGGAAGGGCAAAGAGAAGGGAAGAGACACAGGAGAACACAGAAGGGAGGGAGCACAAGAGTCTGTGTTGGGGGACTGTGGGGTTTTGGTGGTGGGCACACTATGACAGCAACGCCTAGAGGGGGATCCTACAGGTCCGTAATGGAAACAGGGATGTAAGCCAATATAAATACAATAAAAAAATTTTTAAAAAGGAAAAAGAGAAGACTTTTAGGAACTATTTCCTAAATTAAAAAAAAAAAGAAATAAGGTTTTCTAGTATTCACAAGTATAATGATATACCACTTTAAAATATTAAAGTTGTTATGAAATAAGCACAAGTGTACACAGATTAATATAAACAATATCTTTTACCCCCCAAAATTTAAGAGTTATTATTAATCTTTTACCATATATTTGACAACTTTTTGAAAAAAAAATACCGTTTTACAGTTTTTTTTTTTTTCAAAGAATCTTCAGGTTGAACTTTGAACTTTTTTTTTAAATTAATGTATTTATTTATACAAACACTGGGGTACAGTCAGAGGCGCGGGAATTCACCAGAGCCAGAGCGGAGAGTAGAACAGGCAGAGTGATGAAGTACACTGCTGAGGGGAGCAGCGGGAGGCAGGAGAAGTCTGCGCGCCATGTGGGACCCTCGCCTGGCAGCCGGGGATTGAACTGGTGCTGCAGAGGCTGAGAGCAGCTTCGCAACCCAGCGCTCAACCGCTGTGCCAACCGGGGAGGTCCTACAGTTGTTTTCTTTGTACTGCTCCATCCCTTGCCTCTCATTTCTTCATATAGCCATTATTTCAAGATCAATAGATATACTTCCCAGGTGAAACATTCCAGATGTCCTCCTACAGATGCATATTTATCCAGAAATTACATAGATAGGGGTTGATATATTTTTTTAAAGATTTATTTTATTTATTTATGCATACAAGAGCATAAATAGGTATCAGCCAGAGGTGCAGGGGGTGAGAGGATTCACCAGAGACAGACTGGGGAGCAGAGCAGGTGGTTCCACTGAAATACACTGCTGAGGGGAGCAGTGGGCGAGACAGGAGAGGTCTGCTGCGCCATGTGGGTTAGATGCTCCCTGGCCAGGGATCTAACTCTTGCTGCAGTGGCTGCAGATAGCTTCATAGTGCTGAGACTTAACCCCTTGTGCCACCAGGGAGGCCCCTGGGGTTGATATTTTAACTTAATGTTGAGTTACACTCTAGGTGTCCTTCTGCAGCTTGTTTTCATTCAGTGTTATAAATTGAAGATTTACCTCTATTTATACATGCATGTTTATTTATTTTAACTGCTGTATGATGTACCAGTATGGCTACTCTTCTATTGGCAGCTGTTTAAACTTTCTTAAATGCTTTATTTTATACATACACCCATGTATGTATCTTTATGTGTAAATAACATGCATGTGAAGATATCTGGTTGCTTGCACACTGGCTCATTTGGCTTCTTAAAATGCACCCCCAGTAAGACTTGGGTGGGCCTGAGAATTTGCATTTCTAACATACTCCCTGCTACTGCTGCTGCTGCTGTGCAATCACACTTTTAAAAACACTGCCCTAAGATGCATAAGTCCACCTGTGCAATTTCTGGTGCTTATTTTCAAGATACTACACAATGCTAAATGCTTTCCAAAGTGGTCATATTTTGCCCCAACCAGCAGGATATGGGAGTTTCTATGGTGTGTGTCCTTTCTCATGCTTGGTAATGCCACACTTCAATGGTCTTACCCATCACTGGAGTGTAGTGTGATAGCTTCTTTGTTATTTAATTTTCATTTTCCCTGATTATTAGTGACGTTGCATATTTTTTCATGTTTATTGGACAGTGGCTTTGCTCTTCTGGGAATCACATGTTCAATGTTGATTACATTGACTATTGATTTGTTTGTCTTAATGATTTTCTTTGTTGGTTATATGTGTTGGGAAATCTCTCAGGTGGTAGGTTGTCTTTTAACTTAGTTTATGGTGTTTATTGTTTGGCAAAAATAATGAGTTTTATTTTAGTTAGATGTACTATTTTTTCCATCATGTTCTGTGCCTTGAAATATGATTGATTCTGAGACATGAATAAGATATACTGTCTGATTTAAGGATTATCGTTACAAATTATTTTTATGTAATTTATTTTTTTAGAGGTAATATTGGTTTACACACCATATGGGTTTCAGGCATACAGTTTCACTTTGACAACTATATTTATCATACCATGCCCACCATCAAATGACCAGTCACCAACCACTACCAATCAGGTCGTTCCCTCTACCTGTTCTATCCCATCCCCTTCTTCTCTGGTAACCACCATTCTGTTGTCAGATTTAAGAATTTGTTTTATTTTCCTTTTTTCTTTATAGTTCACAAATTATGGTATTTGTCTTTAACCTAATCCCCTTTAAGATCCATCCTTGTTATTGCAAATGGTCTAATTCTTTCTTTTTATGGCTAAGTAGTATTCCACTGTGTATATATACCAGCTCTTCTTTATTCAGTCATCCACTGTTGGACACTTAGGTTGTTTCTTTATCTGCCTGTTATGAATATTTTCATGTATTTCATTTTAGATTTTAAAATTAATTTCCCTTCAAATGTAGGTGGTAAGCAAATCAATAATTTAAAAAGCAGGTAAAGAATAATTTTACCAGTTATATTGAATAGTAAAAGCAATTTTAATTTATTACTTGCACTTTGGTGATGTTGCTGAATTGATATTCTGAATGCAAAAAGTAAACCTATTGTAGATTAAACACCTCAGTCTCCTTCTACCCCTACAAATATTTTTGGTCTTGTAATTTGATGATTAAGCACTTTCATACAAGGTGAAAGAAAAAAAAGATTTTGAATCAAAGGACTCCAAAGTTTAAGTTAATGCAGGAGAACTTACCAGGTGGAAGGTGTGCAGTGTGTGACTTCTAGTATTTAACCTGACGGTGTTTGGCAGATGCAATTTTATAAGTTACAAGAAATGCTGAGTTACGCCAGATTGTCTCCCATCAGGTCTCATTGGCTGGAGCAACACTATTTTGAAATTCACTTATCTCTGATGTTATGATTCATTCATTCAAGAAAGAGAACACTATGTCCCACCATGGTATGCAAGATAGTTAGCGTGTCTATTGCCTTTGACAGGTAAATTGATAGCTACCAAAACAATTCACTTTACAGAACCAGAAGTGGAAACTCAGAGACTTACTGAAGTTTCTGAGATTCTCACTGTTAATCATTGAGAGAGCTAAGATACA